TACGTGAGTTATGATGGAATGGAGCATGCATGGGACCATCACGTGTCCTTCCTACTGCCGCTAGTATATATATATATATATATATATATAGTAAAGACTAAAGAAAAACATGTATAGAAAGAATTTAAGTTGGATGAGGCAGGGATGGATGGATGGATCATTCCCCAGAATTGAAAACCGCTATGGGCAGCCCACTGAAGGATGAGAAAACAAATAGATAGCTAGTGGTATTACGTACGTGTATAGGACGCCAGAATCGTGTTTGTGACAATACATCATCAACATCCATCTCTTCATTATATTGTCATTCACCTAATCATAAGAATTAAGAAGCCAACAACCCAAACTCGTCGCTACTTTTACGTATGAATCTGAAACATTGTACCGGCCATGAATGAAGGGTCAAATTCTTATAAAACTATTTATAAGATAAGAATATGATCAGTCAATTTGACGCTCAGAGTCCTGGAATTGGAATTGACAAAGAAATTAAAAAGATCTACCATGCATAATTAATCCATCACTTCGTACGTTCACTGTAATAATGGGAAATTGATCAAAACTTCATTCCCGAAATGATGTTTTGAACACATCATGAACATATCTGTTAGTAAGTCTTAATTTGTTTATTAGCGAAAAACGATGTTGTTATGTTACGTTGTTAGAACTTAATTAGACGACAAATAATTAAAAAAAAAAAGAAGAAGAAAGATAAATGTGAACAATTACATCTTAATCTCTTTTTTTTTTTTCCTTTGGGTCAACTATCTCTGGCACCATAGGCTAATAGAGAATATAGAAATGGAATGGTAGTGAAAACAATAGTTTTATCAGCTCGAATAAGACATAGTTAGTAATTCGAGGTTGGCTAATTAAGTCATTTCTAGTTCTATATATGGAAGAATTAAGCAACAGAATTGTAGATCATCATCGCTTGGGAGAGAGTTTCGATCTCTTTATATGTTACCATTCATGAGAAGATGTTCTTAATGTACAGCTATAATATCATGTGGGTAAGTGTGGCTAAGATTCTTGTGGGTAGTAGAGAAGAAATTTGTGTAATTGATGCGTGTTTTCTGCACCAACTAATACCAGTGTTGTCAAGACTCTTGAACCAGACCAGCAGATCAGAGTCGAATCATTGACCCAGTAATGAGCTTTCTGTATATCCCAGTTTCTTGACGCTTTTGGACTACTGATTAAACCGGTGTACCCATGATCGCAAGTGACCCGAGTTCGAGATACTTGTCTCTTTCTCCTTGTTTTCCATTTTTGGGTAGGGCACTAGCTTATGAATGGGAATTATATTATATTCTTGACTTGATCCGGATACCTACCCGAGCCTGCAGGTTTTTGACTCGGGTGGGCATTTCCCATGTTGACCCGCATTAACCAAACAGGTGTATCCAGTTTTAAACAATAAAATCAACCATTTTCAAGTCAACTTCAACTAGCTTGTTTGAGGTGTTTTGTTTTCCTTGTATCATCTAATTAATATCCAACTTTTTTTGTTTGCATTGTAATTTCACTTGCATTAGTGCAAATACAAACGTATAAGTGCAAAATTATATATTTTGTATGTATTTATACTGTACATATTTGTTATATATTTGTATTCTTTCAAATTAAATTAATAAAATGGAGTGTAAATCATTAGGCTGCGTTTGGAAATGATGCAAATGGAATGTAAATCCCGGTTCATAGTAAATTTGCATTCTGTTTCACTCTTGCTTGTATTTGGCAATATTACATTTATACATTCGAATGACATAAAATACATTTTTTAATGCATATTAAATTGATAATAAGATGTAAAAGTGCATCAATAAAAAGGAAGTAAATTTGCATTYAATTGGGCTTTTGATAAAAAAAACATATGTTTTATTAAAATTCATGTTTGCATCCATTGAAATTAAAAATCCGTTTGATAAGAAAGTAAATTTGTCAGTGCACCCAATTTTACAATTTGTATGCATTGTTTTGCATTCACACTTATTTGCATTGCTTGTGCATTCAAAGAAATTAAATCTGTTGTGATCGTCTTGCCACTACGTGACTTAGAATATGCTTCATCCAAATTATAATTAATCAGCAACCTGATAGATGGACATCTTGATTAATTCGTTAACTTGAACCATATTTTTATTATTATATTAGGGTTTAAAATTCAACAGAAAATAAAAATGCAACCACTTGCTGGATTGGTTGGTTAAGGATTTGGATACCTAACGTGAAAATTGTATAATTAAATAAACGATACAATCCTTGTTCACCAAGCATCTACGTGTGTAGGTTTTAGGCTTAACCAGTGTGGAAATATCTAGTTTATGCTTTCTTGTTTGCGTGCTTGTATTTGTTATCTGTCTATGCGTGTGTGTGTCACAAGCACAAATGACTGAACCACATCAGATATGATGATGATCATGTACGTGTTTGATGGGTGTGCGTGACAAAATTAAGGCTTGCCACGTGGCAATTACAGCTCTCTTTTCCCATTGTTTTACTTTCATCATCAGTTATTGGACTTTTATTTGCACATGCATGGAAGCTGAAAGGTAATTGCATACGACAGGAGTCACAGGTATGGGTGACAATTGGACCGGATTTGGTCCTACCCGATCCGGTCCAATATGAGTCCATTGCAAATGGATCAGGTCCAGTTCAATTTGTTGAATACTTTAGACCATTATGGACCAATCCAATTTAATGTCTGGACTGTCCAATCTATTCAAATTGGTTTTAATTTAGATTTATTCTAATCTAAACCTGGTCCATTGACACCTGTATTCTTATCTTTTATCAATAGACCAGATATTGGTTTAATCTGATTCAATCCAATATAAATTCATTATAGATAGACCAGGCCCAATCCAATAAACACTTTGGACTATAGTCTAGACTGGTCCAGTTCAATATGTCTTATTCGTCTGTCCAATCCATCCAAAATTCAAAATTGATCTTGATTTGAATATGGTCCAACCCAAAACCAGTCCATTAACACCCCTAATCACAGGACATATTCAGTAATTGTTGGGGTGCTTTAAGTTCTAACCAAATAAAAAAGGTGTTGATGGTGTGCACGAAAGGACGTGTTTGGTTCTCCATTTTTGAAAGGACTGAAGTGAACTCTACCAATCCCCATTCCCCTGACAAAACAATCACTGTAACTACTGATCAGCCTTCATAGTACTTTTTTCCCTTTTAAAGGGTGTTACCCCAAAAATAAAAATAAATCTTCCTCAAACCTTGCCCATGACTCATATGTCATGTTTGGTTTGATAGAAAATAAGAGAGAACGTTGAAGGAAACCAAACACATATAACCATACTGAACAGAGAATAGGCCCAAGATTATAATTTAATCAATATAGGGAAAATCTATGATGTTGAAAAGACATTGTATGGAAAGAGCTTTAACCAATTAAAGCCCACCCATGAATTTTGATAAATGCCTGTTTATGATACCCTTTGAGTGGTCACAATTTTTTCGGATATGATATCTTTTCGATGGTAAGCATACAGCTTGATCTACAATTCCATATGGTTGGACTTGGGACATGACACACTAGTTGGGCTTTCAAAACCTATTGGCCCATATAGCCGACGCTAGCCCTCAAAGCCCAAAAAAAAAAAATCTCTAATCCATGTAAGAAGATGCATGGTTCTGTAATCTGTACATTTCACAAGCAAAAACATGGGTCTGGCCGGCCTAATTCCCGAAACCTACCAAGTCTCCCATCCCATGTTTAGAGGTAGAGGGGATCAGGAGTCAGGACCCATAATCACATTGAACATTAATATTAAGAAAAATAAAATTCTTTTACCATATAAAAAAAGTTAAGAGTCCAGGATCCAAATCTGTTGATCTTGAAGAACTGAGAGCCAACTTGTAGCTCAAAACCTCAAAGCTGATGAACTCACTACTAATGCGCGTGCGTCTTCTCTAGCACAAGTAGTTGATCGAGACATTAGACAATTTGGCGACATGATTTAAAGCACTCTCGCCCAACGGCAACAGCAAAAGCCATTACACAGCATATCACGTTTCAACGCTCAGTAAGAAGTTTCAACCTTTCGTGGAAACTACTACAGCTACAACACAATCATCGAGAGAGAGAGAGAGAGAGAGAGAGAGAGAGAGAGCATGTCTGATTGTGTTTGTGCAGCCTTACAGTGCTTATGCTTGTTGGTTCAGTGGGTTCGTTTAAACCTCTTCTAGACCACAACTTCGCTCAAGAAAGATTACTAGGCAACTGAAATCAGGAATATTCAACCCGGGAATATGTATCAATAATGAGTTAAATAGCCTAAAGTTCGGGACCGGGTAGGGCTGGGCCGGCCCAGGCTTGTATCTGGGCTCTAGTTTTGCCTTTTTGGGTTCGTTCTGTTTCTCTTTGTTGGTTTTCCAGGGCTCTCCATGCCTGTTGTACATTCCAAGTGGCAATGCAGGGTGAAGTATGTGAGCCCTACCATGTTCACTATCATTGGCTTGACAATTGAGACTGTAAACTAATTGGCAGTCTTTGAAATACTCAATGCAATGATAATAGAGTAACAAATTTCTTAGAATATTGGACTATTTTTTGTCTCATTACATCTTATCAATCCCTCACGAATTAAAGCCCAGTTGAATGGTTTTGGGTCTGTTGGCTCAAGAACAGAAGCTAACTAAGCTGTTCTCCTAAAGAAGATACCACGTATAGAATGAAATGCTAGATGTTAAGGACAGAGAGAAAAAGGCCATAAGTAATATATCCTCAACAAAAGAAGAGAGTATCCCAGTGAAGGAGACCAATCTTGGGTTTTCAAGTCTTCTTTTTTAACTTGTTCATCAGAATCTAGCAAACAGAACAGGTTGTATATATGTTACATGCAGAACACAACAACAACAACAATATGTCGGTGCATTTGGGTAAACGAGTTGTTTACCCTACGTATACTAATTACATTCTAGCTACAATGTCAAACCTTTAACATATATCATAAGAACTAACTAATTAATTAAAGCAGCAATGGAAAGAAAGAGTCATCGTCAAGAAATAGCTCAGGCCAAAACAGAGATGCTTCTCCTTCATAGCTAGAACTGCTGCAAGCGTCACCCGTCGTGTTGCTGGTCATGGTCGTCTCAGTTACAAGTGGAGCAGCTGGTGCAGGTGGCTGATGGGGAGGATGAGTGGGAGAGGCCGCAGAAGGAACCCATGGAGACTGGAGCCAGCTTTCTTCTTGGCTAAATGATGTAACATCAGAAGCTTGCGTTATTTCATTGGTAAGAGGTGTTTGGATGCTGCCTGGCAGTTGCAGGTCTGATGAATAAGAGAAAAGAGTTGAATCAGGGACAGGGAGTACTGGTTGAGAAGTAGCCATTCCTAAAGGATTTGGGGAAGGATTTTCCCACTCGAATGAACTCAAAACCGGGTTTTCTTTGATTGGAGATGTGGAGTTCATTAATATCATCTGTGGGAGACAACCTATAAGCTTAGCCAACTGATGACAAGCTTCTGCCGGTGTAGCCAGTGGTATCAGCAGCAGCTGGGAAAGGCTGGAGAACAGATCAGTTCGAGGTTGGTGAGTCATGGGATCGAAGCCCATCTTTATCAGTTTCCTCTTTATGCGTGTGTTCCAAAAGTTCTTGATCTCATTGTCTGTACGACCTGGGAGATGCTTCGCCATTACAGACCACCTTGTAAACAAATTATCAAATTCAGAAAAGCTAGCTAGTTTAATAATAGAATATATAGGTACATATGTACATGATACATCTGAAGGAAAACAAAGAATATATAATGGAATTACTTGTTGCCAAGAACGAAATGCAGATTTAGAATCGTCTCCTCTTCTTCAGGTGAAAACTTCCCTCTCTTGATGTCAGGCTTCAGGTAATTTTCCCATCGTAGTCTACAGCTCTTCCCACATCTGTTAAGACCTGCAAAGAGTGAAGGGACATCGATGGGCATTAGTGAGAGAGAGAGAGAGAGAGAGAGAGAGAGAGAGATGGGTTTGGTTTGTTGGTGAATGGTGATGATATTAATTAAACCTAAACTACCTGCTAATTTGGGCAGGAACCTCCAATTTGAATGACCATGTTTTTGAATGTAAAGAAGAAGCTTTTCGTCCTCTTCTGGAGCCCATGGACCTTTCTTCAGACCGCTTTGATCACAACAAGGGGATCTTCCCATTTGATCCTTAGCTTACCGAAATAATCCAGTACGTACTGCTCTTTACCGGACGGAATAACTAGGGAGGGACGTCAAAGGATTTAACCTATTTATACAAAGGTCTCAGGCCTCCCCCACTTTGTGCTCTCTCGTCTCTCCTTCAATATTTTAATTAGTTCACTTGAAATTTGAAAGCGACTGTTACCAAATAAAAGAAACTTGAAAAAATCCAAATCTGATAGCAATTCTAATGATGATTGTGATAGTAATAATGTATCAAAAATTTATATTAATATGTATTTTTTATTCTTTATTTTTATATTTTTTGGTTTTTATTATTAATAGGATATAGATTTCAAAATCCAAATCTGGTTACATAAAACACCTCATCCAAATATCATCGGATCCAATTGTGAAGTTCAAGTATCATTGATAGGCCTACCTACTTGGCTAGATTCTTCTTTTTGTAATATTTTTATCTTTTTGGTGTACCATTTTTTGTTCAAGATTTGAATAAAAAAAAATTGAATGAGGTGAATGATGTTGTTCGATCCGAGGTGTGCCGAGCTAAACATGCAATGGATAGTCCAATCAACTAGACGAAGTCAAGGTGGAAAGACAAGACCGTACACCATAGTCTACACGCATAGAGAGAATCAAAGGCCTCAAGAATTTACCCCTAGGTAGGCACTTCAATGCTCAAGTTAGTAATGAAGAGAGAGATTGGTTGGGCCAAGCAGGTAGAGTGAACTGGTCCAAGCCAATGAGAGTAATGTGTGTCAGATCCGAGAGAGCTTACCCTGAGGGGGAGATGCCTTTATATACATCGAACACCTATGTCGTAATCGAATGAGGTCCACGGGGTTGTTGGGATAAGGTTGCCCATCGAGGTTCTCGAGAGGTCCTGCTCTCCCTGATGGCCCACGTCTCCTTGTTCATGCGGGACTCTGCTTCCTCGTGAGGCTTCTCCATGACGTGATTGTGGTGACATGTGTCGATGTAGTCTAAAGTCACTGGCCACAGAGGTAGATCACGTGGTAGCTTCGGCCAGCTAAGGCGTCACCCGAATAGTAAAAAGTAGTAATTCAATTTACCATTTAAACCTCACAATTAAATAGGGACTAAATTCAAAATTGAGTATTTTAGTTAAAACAATGTTTCATAATCTTACTCATATTTTTAATAGTAGTGTAAATATAGAATTTTARACGTGTTCAATTTTTTCTATAATTCTTTTTGTACTTCTATGTAAAAATAATTTTGATATGTGGCTGAATGTTCTTGCTTAATATGATTCTTGCTTAATATGATTTTTGTACTTCTATAATTCTTGCTTAATATGATAATTATATGATATTATACATGTGGCTGAATGTTCTTTTGCAAAATTTATGTATTTTTTTCATTTTGTATTTTTATATTTTATTAGTTTTATTTATTTACTTATGACATTAAATTCTAACAAATTTGACCCAAAAGTTAAATTATTGATTTTTGTCAAACATTAAAATAATTTCATTTCTACTCAGTTCTAAATTATTTATTTAATTTTTATTATCAATAAAAATAATTTTTGTTTATTACACTTATTTTTAATTTTCTTAATAAAAATATGATAAATGTGTCTAATTTTTGTCTACATTTTGTAATTTTTATATTTATTTCTATTTTAAAAAATTTACTACCTAACTATGACTATATAGGTTGATCAATTTGATTCAAATGGTTGAATTTCTTAGCCAGCACTATGATAAAGAATGATTTTGTTATTGAGTTAAAATATGCGGGTTTATATTGTTAAAAATATTAACATAGATTTAATTAGTATCATTTATTAGCAAAAATTACTTAATATAGGATTTAATAAGAGCAAATGGGAGTTAATGCTTTAAGTTATAAGACTTAATGAGAGGGGATTAAATAAGGTGAAAAGTAATAATTTAAGTAACATTTTCATCCTAACAATAAAATAGGGGCTAATTTTAGTCTCTCTCTCTCTCTCTCTCTCTCTCTCCAAATGAAAAGGAAATGGTATCAGTTTCTCCAAATTCAATTCAATATATCTGATCAATTCGATCCGTTTACAAAATTAATTTGATTGAAACACATATGAATCCACCGCTGCAGTCTGATCTGGTATGATCAAATCTGATGATTTGATATTTAATAAAATTTGCTATTAATGTTGTATGTTTATTAAGGAGTTTCATGCAAATTATTTTAAATTCATCTTAGTTCATGAAGGATGTGTATGGCATTATATATATATAGATAGATAGATAGATAGATAGATAGATAGATAGATAGATAGAGAGAGAGAGAAAGTTTTAATAGACTGGAGACATGATTCTCGTTTCGGAGACATGATTCTCAGAGTATAAAGTCTAGACAAATTAGTAGGACCCATTAATTTGAACATTCTTTTCTTTTCGTGGTTTTTTTAAATATATTTCCTATCAACTAAGCAGAGATGTTCCACTTCCACAATATGACCGATGTATTTGTTTACAAAATCAAAACTAACGATGCTGTGTCAAACACCCCTTAATAATATATATATTAAGGCATGTCAATCGTCTTTGGTATAAATTATTAACTTGGCTAAAGCATGCGCAATTTCTTTACCAAACACTAACCAAAATGGTCTACCATTATTCAATAAATTTCTAAAGTTATATCCCATTAGAATTAAGCTTGAAGTTTGAAAATGTGGATACCTTTTGGACTTTGGCTCTTCAGCGTGACATTACCAATCCAAGTAGCTGGCTGCTGGCACCTCCAAAATATCAAGGTCTGCCATGCATCGTGACTTTGACAATTAATGGTAAGAATCTCTCTGTTTAAATTATGGTTTTTGAACCGTTGTTGATGGCAAATGGTCGGATCATTCACATTGAAAATTGTTCAGGCAAYTGGTTTCGTTTTACTTTAATTTYGGTTTTTGGTCAAAAATCATTGAAATGGTCAATGATTTGTTGATTCAGGCAGTCGAATTGTGAATTTATTCAACGATTTTTTGTTATTTTTTTATTTTAATTATTTTGTTAATTTTTTATTACTTTTTTTTTGTCAGAAAAAGGCCGTCTATTCAAAATAGATGGTCGAACCGTCAACCTGAAAACCAGTGTCTAGAATGGTTCCGATTCTGAGTCATTTTTTAAAACATTGGTTTAAACAGTACCACACCGCTAATGTTGAGAAGACTATATATATAAACAATATTTTAAAAAATGACCCAGAGGCCAAACCGTTTTTGCATCTGGGTTGCAAATCACCGGTTAAACCAGTCAGGTCGAACGATTCAGACCATGCAATGTCAATGGGTCAAACGGGTCAACGGTCTAACTTCCGGGTTGAACGGTTTTTTACCATTTGACAGGTTTTGATTGAACTGAACCCGGAATTCTGAAAGGGTGACTGTTCAAACGGTTTAACCAGCCGGGTGAACGGCAGATTGAGAACATTGTATATAAATCGTTTCGCCACACAATGTATGGCTAGATCAAAGGAAATAAAAAAAGAGGGATGAGACATATAGATTGTTTGAATCAATTCTCTCTCTCTCTACAGGGAAGGAATTAGGATTTTCTCTTGAAATGAGCCAAAAGTTAGTAAATATAAATAAGGTGATAGATAGAGGACCAAAATATAGGTGAGGTTGAGAAGGGTATTTTGTGGATTTTCAAGGCATAGGGGCCAATGGCCTCTCTCTCTCTCTCTAGGCACGTACCTTTGCAGCAGTGCAAATAACTTGTACGCATTCCCGAACATTGAAAGAGATGAGATCAGTATATTTTTCTTTGGGATAAATATACTGCACTTCACCTCAGAATTGTGAATTCTTCTTTATTGGCCATAATTAAAATGAAAAAAAAAACTTTGTCTCGACCGTAATCATCTGAGGTTCTAAACCGAACTTCTGGCAGAAACTGGGTCATGCCGCATTAAATTGAACAGGTTGATGTGAAACCCTGAATGGATCGGCGCCCATATTAACTGGGTTTAGACCCTATGGCATGTTTAAAATTGCGTTAGGAGTTAGAACCCAACCTGTAGTCCGACCCAAATGCATATATGGATCAAAATGAATTTATCCTACAGGAAGAGAGCAAGTGGGGCAAAGAAGCAGCTCAATCAGATTCCAGATTCAGATTCCTCTAACCATTAAATAAATAGGTATTTGGTAAATTAAACCCAGTGAAATAGAAGGCCCTTTGTGGATATACAAGTTTCTTCCTTTGATGATGCAACAAGTATAATTACTCTTCAACGTCTTCAATTTCAGAAATTTTCATTCATTTCGGACCCTTTTATCCATGATTGAGTTTCTTTAAAATTTTGGAGGAATTTATTTCTTTAACAAATTTTAATTATTTTATTAGTATCTATAATATTTTGAAGAATAAATTATAAATAAGTACCCTCTAATTTAGGGTATTGACACTTGAGGGCCTAAAAACTTTCAATTGCAACAGTTTAGTATCCAAAAGTTTCAGAAATATACACAAATCCAATTCCATTAAAACTGAAAAAATTACAAAAATGCCTATATTCATATTCTTTTTTCATCTTCTTCTAGGCAACAAAAAAAATTATGATGGACAGTGCATTTATACAAATACAAAAACCAACATGTAAGCATTGTTCAATATATATTCATCACCTTTGGAGGCTTCATTAGAGAATGCAAATGTTCTCTCTTGTTTCTGGATGCTTTTATTTGAGTGCCAACTTTAGCTGCTTTATTGTCCTGTGAATCGATGTTTTTTGTGCCATCACTGAATTGCATTTGATGGTAGATCCATGGTTTTTAAAACCGAACCAGTTAGGGGTCTAGTTACCAGTTCAAAAGTTCACTGAACCGTTTGAACGGTTCGAACGGTTCAGTAGTTTGCTGACCAAAATCAACGGTTTTGAGGAAAAAAATGGATTTGGGGAAAAACGAAACCAATCAGGTAACCTGTTCCCGGTTTTTCCAGTCCAGTCCAGTTTTGAAAACCAAGGGTATAATAAAAAATAAAAATAAAAAAAAGGAGAATTTGAATATGAGCATTTTAATAACTTTTACCCTTATACTCACTATAACGCCAGTTTAACTCGGTTAAACTTAAGGCTGTGTTTGTTTCCAGTGTAAATATATATATCAGTATAAAACTCCATTCCTACCCGTTTGTTTTCAATGTACGTTTTACACCAAAAATTGATATAAACCTTCCCTTGGTTGAGTTTTACATCGATTATCACACTTTAAAAAGTTTCAACAGTTCACTCATTTTCAACCCATCGGTGTTGAACTCCATTGATGTTTACATGGATACAATTGCACTGACAGCCTAAGTGTATATTTCTAAAAGTTCTGTCGAAATCTTAATTTTTAAACTTTTATCAACAACATTTCCACTCAATATTTTAAATATATCGTGTCGGTTGTTCTCAATATTTATTAACAACCTTTTGTACCAAAGAAGTTAACAAAGAAGAATATTAATGACTACTCTCATCCCAGTGAAGGGTTCTACCAGGCCAGATTTTCTAGTTCTAGACTTCTAGCATTTAATGAATTCAAGCAGCTCACGGAAGTTTGACAAAAAAGAAATACATAAACGTTGATCGTAGGGTCACATCCTGCCATTTCAACAACTGCTTTCTTTGAACCCCCAATTGGTAGGGCCTGCTGACTGCGTACCTGCATCCATGAAATTGAGGATCAATTTCTTCTAAAATCATAGAGGGATTAAATGATTCAAATTTGGACTCCTGAATCCTCTATTTGGGAATTTCTAATAATAAATTGAAAAACAAAACAAATAAAGAAACCCGTTCACCATGAATCTATGTTAATTAATCCCTATATGTATTCTTTGTGTATGACTTTTTCTGGCGTTATATATTTTCTCTCAACTGTTGTAACAAATGTTTTTGACTCTTTTCAAGAATGTTAAATACTTTGGATTTTTCTTACAAATCCTTTAAATAAATGCTTATACTGAAACGAAAATATATATATATATATATATATATATATGAAATTGAAATTTTCATATATATTCATTCACCTAATCACTGTTTTAGCTAGCAACTAGTACGTAGTCTTAATTTTATTCTTTGTTTATTGGCTATACTGGCATTAGCAATGACATCATCACCACATACTTCCGATTTGAGAATTATATATAGTTTAATCGCCCTAAATTATTAGTCAAAGACATTGGTATCAATCCATATCAAGAGTTGATCCATTTTACCAGAAATCTAAACTAAAATTAAGAACAAAGTTTTCGTAGCTGGATATGTAATTCATACTGCCAAGTTGCCAACCCAATCCATACTGGGTCTGCTCCATTTAATTTCAATGCGGGTTGGGCAGTTAATGCACTCTTATACTTCCTGAATTAAATCCAAGTTGGGCATTGTTGACTGGATCAGTTACAATCCCTGGAGGTGGGTTTCTACTAATTTCTTCAACAAAGCATATATACTWGAACAGTGGAACTCAATAGTGGTTGTTTTGTTCTTATCAATTTAATGCTCAGTTTGGAAGGAGTATAAATATAAATGTGTAGAGTGTAAAATCTTGTATTTTGTATATATTTGTATTTGTATTTCTTCCAAATTGAGAGTTCCAAATTGAGAGTATAAATGTGTATTTGTATAAATATAAATGCTCAGTTCCAAATTGTGCCAAACTAAGCCTCGTCAATGCAACTCAAGCTCCTCCGACATTGTATTATATACATAATACAGTATGTGTGTATGTGTCCACATACATACATGTATAATTAGCAACACAGATACACCCATTCACAAACATGTACAATATTCACATATTATGCATTTTATTTATATAATTTTTTGGCTTTATGGAACATTTTATTTATACAAAAAAATATATATCTTTTTTTCTGAACATTATATGCATGTATATGTATAAAGTGTGCGTTTACACATTTATTAATGACAATCCAGAAAACAGCAAAAGGTATCACTACCATAGAGATAGAGCTTTGCCCCTTCTGATTAAGCCACTGAGTTGCCAACAGTTAAAGAATGCCCACGAGGCTTGAAAATCTCCATGAGAAATATTATATGAGTGAAGTAAAATGGAGAAATATGTGATTTGCTGTTTCCTTTGTGCTGGAAAGTAAAACAAAACCAGTGTTGTCCAGGCCCATGATCATTTATTAATCAGACAAGAAATATTACATTATATAGCAAAACTCCATAATTGGAACACAGCTCATAAACCGAGCCAGTGGCTCTCCTTAGATTATTATCCTCTAACCCTAACTTACCCTGCTAGGGCAGGTCCCAGACACAATGCAGCCAGATCTAGTCCCTTGCAAAAGAATCAGCCAGTCCATTAGCATTCTCCTGAACCACTTCTATTGAAGTTGTAGACTAGAAATCTAGCTTCTCCGATATGATGGCTGAACTCCCAAGAATAATCTCACCAATCCCCCATCCATCCTATGACCAACTGTGAGACTCTTTACTATCTCCAGCCTCAACCATTGTAACAATGAAAAACACCTCAKCCAATGTGAGAGAGATAACAGCTCTGCTCTGATAGAACTGCCCTAACCCATTGGTCCCAAATATACTAGCAGAGCCTCTCCTTCATGATTCCAATAACTCCACCAATACCTGATGAACCCAGGTTCCCTAAGCAGCACCTATGAAAGCTGAGATTGATTGGATAAAATAGAGGGGACAAGACTGTAGAAAACACAACCCTGCTAGTAGAAAACAGCCAAATTAGTCCAGTTTCTAATTTTCCCTCATTAGTTGAAACTCCTACAGTTATCAAGTTGATGAAGGCTTCAGAGGTTCTCTTCTTATTAAAGATCTAAAAGTAATAAATCCCCAATAAATGATGCATAAATTGCAATATATTCCACAGGAACAGAGAAAAGCTTCTTTATAATTGACAGCTCAACTCAATTGCTTTTTTATCCAGATCTCAACCTGGATCTGCTTCTTCTCTCTCTGTTGTAAGGAAACTCAAGGTCCATTTTTTATACTGGCATTGCTAATCCAAAACCATAGTCTTTTCCATTGGATTTAATTTAGAGGACAGAAGCTTATGTTGGATTTCATTTGGAGGAAAGAAGAGAAGCAGAGATGAGAGGGTTTTACATTCTTTTCTTCTTTTTCAGGAGGGAAAGGGGTATTACATAATGCCACTGATATATTGCCATGAGCATCCTCTCAATTTAGTCGTACAGAATTCTTTCAGTCTTTCAGAATAGAAGGCACGAGTATAGACTATAGAGTATTAAAGATCCTTTCCACTAGTACTCCCAATAGGATGCCTTTATTCAAAAGGGGAAAAAAATGAAAAGAAACTCATATATTTTCATAGGAACCAAAATAAGGTGAGTGAAAGGAAGCTCAATAAAATATTTCCTACCGGAGAAGACCCTTTTCAGCCCCACTAAGACCAACTCAAAGATAACTAGAGGAATGAATTTCTCTTTTTCTGTTCTTTTCTTTTGTTTTATGTAAGGATGAACAATACTGAGAAACAATAATGGCGAAGTCAGTATTCTGTATTGAGAGAGGGGAGGACTTCAAATGAACCTGTCCTGAAACTGAAAGGATCCTCTCGAAACCGAGTCCGAATCTTCTGCCCACAAGAACTTTACCCACATAACATCGCAGTCACATATGGAGAACATCTCATCCTTCTACATAGGATTATTATGCACGGGGAGATGTTCCCAATGCAGGGAGGTAATGTGCTGTGGATAGACGTGGACAGAGTTCGTGTGGGCAGGAGATCCGGAGTCCTCGAAATCATTGTGCTGCCCTAGACGTACAAAATTCTTAACTTGCATGAAGGCTTAAAACCCTCTCCCCCTTTACAACCTACCCTGACAGAAAACCAAGAGAAAACAAAAAAAAAAAAAAAACTTGTATTTCCAATACCAACTAGAAAGTAAACAAGGCACATGGATAATGTCATTCCCTTTCATTGATCAAGAAGCTAATAAATGCCTATGCATGCCAAATGCAGCAAGAAATCCGATGGCCAAGAAAATCAAATGCACTGAAAACTATTACACAGACTAAAAACAATAATACATGCTTTGTTGCATTCTGGTTCACTTCAAGTATGTAATACAGTAAACATAATTACCAGTAAACGCAGGGAGGAAAATGCTAAATTTCTTCGTTTGGGCTTGGACCCTGGAGTCTTCAAGTTTGATATATTTACAGTAGCAACACGCTCATCTTCAGGTAAAACAATAAAACTGACCAATTTGGAGAGTGAACCCTAGTGAATCCCTCGGTTCACGGGAAACATGTACCCTCCAATAGGAGGCGTGCACGTTGGAGTCCGGATTCAGTGGACCCTTGGGTTCACGGGAAGCGTGCACCCTCCAATTGGAGGCGTGCATGTCACCCACTTCAAACTCATCTTAACATTAACGGGCTTTTGGGCGTTAGTCAATTGAATCCGGTTGAACCGGATAGAAAAAATTCTTTTAAATTATTAGGGATATGGGAGATCATTTGAACTCCCTCCCATTTTCTCCTAGCCCTAACCGAGAAGCAAACCACCGGCGATTTAACTGTACAGCCGACGTTCGTGAGTGTGAAGTACACCGGAGGCAAGAAATCAAGTGGCGATAAGTATGCTTGTCTCCTTCTTCTTCGAATTCTCATCTCATTATTCCGACGCCTGCGGTCATCAACCATCAGAACGAAGGTCCACCAGGGGAACTGGTACTCTCCCCACCGTATCATTCGAACCCTACCCTGTTACCAGATCATCGGCAACCAACACCAACCGACGTCCATGAGGAGCTTCTATCCAAAATGGTACATCACGAACATTACTTCCCCCGCCCCCACTATGGATGCACTTGAAGTTACATTAGTGTCATGTTGCTTGATTTTTTTAAATAATTTTCTGAAACTGTAGTGACTGTTATAAGCTACAAGTCTCTTGATAATGAAATTCAAACTAGCTCCTTACTAGAAATTGCTGGTTTCCGGAGACGTACTAGTTTCCTGTCATGAAGATCAATACTACTTTGGCCATGCTTAATTTTGGTAGGTATGCTTTACCACATTAAACCAAGTAATGCATTAGTTTGTTTACAGAAGTGCAAAGAGTTGAAGGTTAGTCTAAGCTATATTTTCTGTTTCCTTACCTATTTTCATTACTGAAGTTTAGTTTTTGGAGGAAGTTCCATTTGATGTTGCTCCGCATTCTCTATGGAAGCTTAACACCATTGGGGCCTGTTCAAGATACTAGGTACTGGAAACAAGGCCAATCTACTGGAAACAAGTTGATGCCATTCATTGGGTACCCTAGAGTTGGCATGTGGCAATTCATGCCACCTKCTGCAATTGGTGTGCCTTACAAGATCATGTTCTCCGCCCCCTGGTTTCTTAAGCTGGAAGATCTTGGTGATAGATTAGCCTTAATGTGCCTGAAGAAATGTTCAGTGTCTTTGATCTTTTTTTTTTTGGAAAATTTTCGTGTTGACTTCATTTTAAAACATTCAGAATATTGTAATTTTGCTAACCCGGTATGCTAGTGTTGCTCATTTCAGAATCATTCTGTTCCTTGGGTTAATTTTATTGTCCTATGCGTGGTGTTGTCTAAACACCAAGAGGCAGACAAAACTGCTCAGATGGAAGCTTGTTTTCTAGATAAGCCACCTATAAAATTTGAGCTCAAGTTGAATGTTAACAGTTTACTCAACATTCAAAACTTGGTAGCACCGTTTTTTGCACAGGTCCTACAGACATTGTTGTGCAGCATATGACAGGATGAATGATTAGTTGTATTGGTCCCGATTTTCACTTGGCCATTGGTCGGTCATGTTAGATCATTGCCTCTCATCATTTGCGGACTGTCATGTGGGATATGCTCTCATTTTCCGGCAAAACTCATTACTAGTTATCAATTGAATGCTCTCATTTTAATGAATACTACTTGACTGGTTCATGTTTTTTTTATACTTGTTGCTTGGATGTAGGTTTTTCGGGTATCATGTCTTCTTGGTATCGTGGTCAAACCCCTGGTTAACCATTACACCATGTCTGCAAGTTCAGGATGAAGTTTCCAGTTGTATTTTATCAATTGGCATTTTTTCTTGAACATGGGTAACAACCTCACAAATGATTTTGAACCTTCGTACGAGGCCGATTATATGGGCATTGGGCCACGACCATATCATCAGTCTGATATACCCGATATGTACAGAGCTGATATATTTTGTGATTAGCCAAATCTTATAATAAGGGGTATTATTATTATTTTTTTGAAGCATTGGTGTGTTACAAGTTGCATTTGTAGGCATTTAACTTAACACACAAATTCATTATGGTAGTGTAAGTACAAAGAAACCTCATAGAGCTAACATATTTATAACTTATTGAGAAAATAGGAATCTAGAGACAGAGAAGAGAGGGAGTAGGGCGGGGAGGCAGCTTCGTTCAAATCCCCAACAAAATCAAACAATGGATTTATCCTCCATGGAATCCAAAGGCTCCAAAGCTGGTAATTAGAATATTACTTATAGCCATAACTTTACAGACTCAAAATACAATGGAGGCCATATTTCACTATGGCCCTCTCTACTACCAGTAACCCAAGAAGTGATGCCACAAAAGTACCATAGAAAAGGTAATTTCATTTATGTGATCCACGCTGGCCGGTAGGTATTGGACTGCAGACATTGAAGAAGAGAATCAAAACCATGAAGGAACAAGTGGCTGCTGTCACCAGCACACAACAAAGCCATGGCAAAGATGATAATTCACAGTGTAACAGACATGACATGAATCATGATCTTTCGTAGAGTTTACCCAGATATTGCATTCATGAAGGCAACCCCAAATAAATGAAACTTTGCTTGAGGCTGTTTCTATTGCACAAGATCATGATGGTAAGCCAGCCAATGCGGTACAAAACTCTGAGACTGGATCTATTTAGCAAGAGTACCTGTTTCCCTGGTGGACCTTCGTTCTGATGACTGATGACCGCCGGTGTACTTCACGCTCACGGGCGTCGGCTGTACAATGAAATCGCCGGTGGTTTGCTTCTGGGTTAGGGCTCGGAGGAGAAAATGAGAGGGAGTTCGAATGAACTCTCAAATCCCAAATAATTCAAAAGAAAGATTTTTTTTTTTTGGCCTTTTTGTCTTTTTTTCTGTCCGATTCAATTGATTTACGCCCAAAAGCCCGTTAACCTTAGGATGAATTTGAAGTGGGTGACATGCACGCCTCCTATTGGAGGGTGCACGCTTCCCGTGAACCCAAGGTCCACTGAATCTGGACTCCCAATTTCCAGTCTCAGCATCAAGACTTGAATCTGTAAGATCTTTCTCGATTCCTTCATAAAAGAAAAGGTTGGAGCAAACCTCACACCGCTACTTTCTTCGATTATTGGCCTACTTCGAACACTAAGATAGAAATCCGTCGCCCTAGCTCCTCAAGGGATGAACAAAGAGCGCTCTTAGGCTACCTATTAAGCGAATTTCACAGGAGTTAAGATCGGAAAGCATGAAATCTCCCTCCTGTGAAATCTGAAAACGCTTAACCAAAACCTCACTCACCCTTCTTGTTCCTCAACCCAGCAGAGTCCCGAAACTGAAAATTCGGTTTTTCCGCTAAAGCCGTATCAGAAGCCTTGATATCAGTTTCCTGAGCTACATTACCTTGATATTTCTTTGTCGCTTTACTCTTGAAATCCAACTTCTCTTTCGGCATTACCTCAGAATTCACACTTTCTAGAGTTTATTTCAATTCAGAGATTGCTTTCAGAGACGAGTGCACTTCATAGGAGGGCAAGAAGTAAGAATTCTCAGAGACAAGCTTCTCAAGATCGGCAATGGAGACTGATACCTTCTCAAGGTCAGATTTTAAACGAGATTTCAAATCAGGATCAGAGACCTGGCGGCAGCACTCAAGTTCGTTCTGAATAGATCGTTTTGCTTCCGAGAAGCGACCTCAAAAGGAGATAAGGTCGAATCGGACTTACGAGAAATGGACTGTTGGAGACGAGACTGGTGGAGATTGGAGAGGCGTTCGATCATTGCTGCATTTCTTCTCAGCGACTGCATCTACATTTTTGTCCGGCATTTCTTTAGGCACCATTCTTACTCTCAGAACTCTTCCTCACTCGAGTTCAAATCTGCGCCCCACCAGCTCTCGCCCCACAGATGCCCCACACGCCCGTTCGGCGCCATCTGTCCCTTTGCACGATATTCGCTTGTCCCGCGTGCGGGGCTAACGGAACCTTAGCCCCAAAACTCCCAAAACATATGAGTTCAAATCTCAAAACCCTATTCCCACTTCCTCTCGAGTTCGTGCAGCTGGTCCCCTGATCCCTCGTTCCTCTCCCCTCACCCGAGTTCTCTTCTTCTTCTCCGGCACCGGCGATCATCCGGAGGTACTCTCCAGTTCTTATATTTCAACTTCTTCACACATTTCTTTTTTTTTTTCTGATATTTCGGTTTTTCAGAAATCAGAGAAACCGGCGGCAACATAGCTTTTTCTCCGGCATCCATTATCAGAAAAGTTGATTACCAGAGGCAATGGCATCCATTACCAGAAAAGTCGATTCAAATAAGGATGCTTGATACTCAGATGGCCAGATACAAAGATGAGCATTAGCAATTGAGGCACATGAATCAAATGCTCATGCGTGTCAATAAAATCAGAAAGGAAGGCATACGCATTGCCGCTAACACCGTCGGAAAGCCCCACTTTTCTCACCAACCCATTCCTCCATACAACTTCCCCTGCCTCTATTGCTGCATCACGGAATTCCCTGTCACACGAGAACACCTAGAAACCACACAGTACACGTGAACGAGTCAGTCTGGTCTCAAGACTCTGAACCACAAAAACAAAAAAGCTGAAAAATTCAAAATCGTTGCCTTTATAATTAGAGGTACATACCCGGGCTGCATTGCACAGGGTGATGGACATGCCGGTGGCACCATGTGACCACTGCACCAACTTGTCCCTTGGGTTGTCTTCACTCGATGGGTAATTGCCGCTGTGGGGAAATCTGTCCTTCATCATGTCGTCTTGCACAGGTACATGCTTGTTACCCGGATGATCGCCGGTGCCTGAGAAAAAGCACTGTTGCCGGTGTTTTCTCTGATTTGAAATGAAAAAACAAAATATGAGTCTTGGAGTTCAAGCAGACGTATAAATTGAGGGGGCGGGAATGTAGAAACGAGGGTTTTGACCTTTTGAGCTAGTTTCGGGGCTAACGGGACAAACTAACGGCTGTCCCGTTAGCCCCGCACGCGAGAAGCATTTCCGCATGCGAATGGATAGGTGGTGGACGCTCGGTGTGTGGGGCATTTGTGGAGTGTAGGAATGGCAACGGGGCGGGGCTCCCCTCCCCGTGGTTAAAATCCCCGCCCCGTTCTTGGTATTGAGGTAAAATTCAACCCCCATCCCCAACCCTGTTAGCGATGGAGAATCCCAAACATATACCTACCCCGCAACCTTCCTACTCTAACGGTCTAATTCTATTCTTGAATGGACGGGCTCTAGGGTGTGAACAAAAGAGAAAAGGAATATATTTGTATCAAAGATTCAAAATATATGGAAATTTACACGATTACAAACAAAATGGCGAAGAAGTTGGCTCATCCATGAAACAACCAAGAAGCAACCTTGAAGAGCATCGACATTCACGTGTTCCAAGCAAAGCAAAGAAGCAAACTCCAAGTAAAAGTAATTCCAATTCATGTACATGTACTAAACACAAAGCTATCATATCGTATTGAACATAGAGAGTACCGAGAAACACAGTGAAGATCGAAGAACGAAAGAWGACTGGGAAGTCTGCTGCTACGGTGGTGGCAACGCTCGGTGGTCAATGGACGAACGGAGGGCAACAAAGGAAGAAACAGAGAATGAGAGAAAGATTGTCAGTGCCAGACTGAGAAACAAAGAATGAGAGAAAGTGAGAACCGTGGCGGTCGGCAGTTCCTCTTTGCTACGGTGGCGGCGGCACCCGGCGGTCGACGGTTGTGCGAAGTTTGAAGGAAGACTCAGTTCAGTGATTCTCTAAGTCTCTGTATGTGCGAAGGTTGAAGAAGACGAAATAGTAGGGAATAGGGAAACGACAACTCGCAACACTGTTGTATTTGAGACTCCTAACCTAATATACAATAACTATGTAATACCTTAATAGATTATATATATAAGGTTATATATGTAATTTACAATCGGGGTTGGGGCGGGTTCGGGGATTTATATGCAGACTCCATCCCCGCCCCGTCCCCAGTCCGGGGCAAAAAAAAAATCTCTAAACCCGACCYGTCCCCATGTATGATCGGGGAAAATCCACCCCATTCGGGGCAAGACGGATCGGGGACCCAATTTTGTGGGTAAAATTGCCATCCCTAATAGGGCGAGAGGTGGTGGGGCACAGATTTGAATTCTCCTCACTCACGTTTGCAACTTTGCTCTGTAGACTGTAGTGTGATCATGGGCCAAGATTCTTTAACACGACATGATGATGCACAATCTGATCG